CCCTCAACCCTTAAACCCCTATAAACCCTAAAACCCCTGAACCCTAAACCCCTAAACCCTAAGCCCCATAAACCCTGAACGCCGCGTTGACCCCAAAGGTTTCCGCCGAATTTGTTCGTCTCGTTCCTGAGCTCCTTCCATTGTGCTGGGCACCCAGGGTTTAGGGTGTAGAGTTTAGGGTTTAGGGTATAGAGTTTAGGGTTTAGGGCATAAGTTTAGGGTATAGAATTTAGAGTTTAGGGCATAAGTTTACGGTTTAGGGCATAAGTTTCGGGTTTAGGGCAGAAGTTTAGGGTTGAGGGCATAAGTTTAGGGTTTAGGGTTCAGTTTAGGGTTTAGGGCATAGAGTTTAGGGTTTAGGGCATAAGTTTAGGGTTCAGGGTTTAACGCGGTTTGGTGTTTAGAAGTGTGGTTTGGGGGGGTATTCCTTTCTTCTCACACATTAGTCGTTGGAGGCTGGTAACCTGTAACAGTAACCTTTTCCGACACATGGATTCCTACCAAATCCTAAAGCCTTTTTAAATCCTCAACCTGAACCCTAAATCCTTAAAACATCTATAGAATGGCCTACCACATGTTACCTTTCCTGGGCTAGGGTACTCAGCCCCTAAGCGGTCAACGGATAATGAAATCTCGGAGTTGAATCTCTGTCTCAGGTCCTCGTTCGACTCACCACCTCCTCACCCCTAAACCCTAAACCCTAAACCCTAAACCCTAAACCCTAAACCCTAAACCCTAAACCCTAAACCCTAAATTCTAAACCCTAAACCCTACCGAGTTGGACTGGGCCCGGACGCAGCCAGCAAAGATGAGTGCAAAGGCTGCAAGAAGGCCCCGACTCCGCCAGCACCCGCGGCCAGAAGCAGAGATTGAAACTTTGCCACCGCCCTCGCAGCCAGACTCCATGCCCTAAACCCTAAATCCTAAACCCTAAATTAATCCTAAACCCTAAACCCGAAACCCTAAACCCTAAACCCTAAATCCTAAACCCTAAACCCGAAACCCTAAACCCGAAATCCTAAACCCTAAACCCTAAGCAGCTGCCGTCGCCTGTGTTGACTCCTTGCTGTGACGGTGATGAAGGCGAGGATGGCTCTGAGATCGAGGCCTCAAAAACGGAGGCACGCAGAGCAATCAAAGGAAAGGCAGGTAGCAGGGTTTAGGGTTTTAGGGTTTAGGGTTTAGGGTTTAGGGCTTAGGGCTTAGGGCTTAGGGTTTAGGGTATAGGGCTCAGGGCTTTGGGTTTAGGGTTTAGGGTTTAGGGTTTAAGGTTTAGGGTTTAGGGTTTAGGGTTCAAGGCGAAAGAGTGTCTTTAAGGCAGGCGACTAATAGTGAAGCCTGTATAAATAGCCACCAATATTGCTGTTAGGGTTCCTTCTTAGAATTGTACTATAAAGGAGCCCAAAACCCTATTCTACTTATTAAGGCCCCTACATTACCGTGCTACTGCTGAAATTTCTCTTCTGAAAGTCACTTAAGCCCAACCTCTCAAGTCTTCCAACTCCCGAATGGGTAGTTGTCTAAATTAGGGTCCCTTTTGGGGCTCTTTTTATCAGGGTGCCGACAAGGGACCCTTATTTAGAGAACTACCCATAACTAGAATAAGGTTTTGGGGCCGATTATACGATAATTATTTTAAGGAAACCCCAAAAGAGTATAGGTAATTATTTAGGCCCCTACATTAAACCTTATACCCTTAAACCTGGCGCCATTGAGCCCAAAGCAGAATGTGAGGGGTTCTGCCCTCAGGATAAGACTTTTGAGTTTTTTTTTTGGGGGGGGGTTAAAGTAGGGTCTGTAGGCCATACCCCAAACCCTCAACCCTAAACCCTACACCCCATGGGGCCATATTGTCTACAGGTTTCGTTCCTGCGGTGGTGGGTTTCGGGCTTGTGGGCTCGTTGGGGAGGAGTTCAGGGCTTAGGAGCCCCTCTGGGGTCTCATAGTAGGGTTCCTTTAAAGGGTACTAAGGGCTTCTATAATGGGTTCCCTTTAAGGGTACCTTCTTCGACCCTACTGGTCCCCACGGAAGGGTGACGGTTTAGGGTTTAGGGTTTAGGGTTTAGGGTTTGGGGTTTAGGGTTTAGGGTTTAGGGTTTAGGATGGTTTGGGGTTTAGGGCTGCAGGTTTTGTACTATGGCGTTTAGATCACAGCCACATGAAGCCCTAAAACCCACAAGCCCCAAACGCCATTGTTCCGGTTCCTAAACCCTAAACTTTAAACGCCACATAACCTACCGCTTTAAGGGCTTACAACCCTAAACGCTAAACCCTAAACGGTATAAAGACATCATAATAAGGAACCCTCGAAAAGGTCGGGCCTAGGTCAACCCTAAACTTTCAACGCTTTCACCATGAAGCCTGAAACCAACAAGGATGCCCCAACCAAAAATCCCTAAAGCCTAAACCCTAAAGCCTAAAGCCTAAGCCCTAAAGCCTACACCCCAAAGCCTAAACGCAAAGCCTAAGCCCTAAAGCCCAAGCCCTAAACCCTAAAGCCTAAACCCTAAAGCCTACACCCTAAACCCAAACCCTAAAGCCTAAATCCTAAAGCCTAAAGCCTAAATCCTACAGATCCCTCAGCCCGAAACCCCAAATCCGAAGCGTTGCTTCAGAATTGGGGGAGGATCACGAGTTGAAGGCTTGAGTTAAAGGAAACTACAGGTGGGGGTTTAGGGTATATAGGGCTTCTATAAGGCTCCTATGACGGTAACTACCCACCTGAAAATGCCCTCTTTTGGAGTTTAAGAGTCTTACTGTTTAGGGTTTAGGGTCGAAGGGTTTAGGGTTTAGGGTAAGATAGGCCATTTATGGGATTTCGGGTTTAGGAGTTAGGGCTTAAGGTCTAGTTTGCATAGGTTTTAGAGTTTAGTGCCGAGTGTTTAGAGCTCAGGGTTTTGTGGGTCTCCCACTGCAGACTCAGGTGACGTTTTTAAGCACGAAGACGGAGACAGAAGTTATGGAGGACATCTGCTGTCCCGGGGGTGCTACATGCTGGGCTCCGAGCCCCTTTGACCACAAGCATTAGCCTGGATTAGTTAAGGCTTAGGGGTTGCAGATTTAGGGTTTAGGCTGAATCCTCTCACCCCCGCAGCCCGAATTCCCTTTTTAGCCTTATGGCCGTCACACTACATATAGAAACCATCGGTCCAAAACCTCGAAATCGCTGACCCTCAGGCCGTCTGCCAAGACCCGAGTTGCACTTTGGGCATATCTCCCACGATACGCGACATGAGTACAGCTCCCTGATACTGCGATACCCCTGACTTTGCTGCTGCGCGAACATAGGCGTCCTATGTTTCGTATATAACGGACTCCAGCACGACGAGCCGTAACACCCACGCCCTGAACCCTGCACTCTAAGCCCCAAGCCCTAAACCCTAAATCGACGAGGATTCCGAATGAACTCTTTGTCAGATCATTGTGTTGATGCGGTTGCCTGAGCGCGTCGACAATGCTGAGGCTAGTGCAACCTATATCGGTAGTATTGAGTTTGGCACATTGAGCTTAAGGCTGGCATAGTGAAACCGTAATACTGGTATAGTAAAGCCAAATATAGTAGATGAGAACAGTTGTCACTGGTGATACCAGCAGCAGCTACTAGACATATCACTTTTACATAGTCGTGCTAGTGAAGTCAGTCAGGCATCGAGCATGCAGGCCAGAATGCAGCGCAAGCTCGTGGGCCTAAGCCCCAAACCCTACCTGTGGCCAGCAAAAGCTACATTTTTGACATACAGCAAGAGATCATATTAAGACGGTTTAGGGTTTAGGGTTTAGGGTCGGTTTAGGGTTTGGGGTTTAGGGTAACCCATAAAGGGGTTCAGGTAAGCCTTACACTCGAAAACAGCGCTTGCAACAGAAGCCCGCAGCTGATCCGCCTGACCGACCCCCCAAACCCCTAAACCCTAAACCCCTAAACCCCTAAACCCCGAAGCCCTAAACCCTAAACCCTAAACCCTAAACTCTCAAACCCTAAACCCTAAACCCTTATATAACCCCGACCGATAGTTCATTGTTGCAGCCGTTTGGGGCTCAGGTTTCTAGCAGAAGTTCATTGGGGCTTCAATCGTGGGATGAAGGTGGGTAGAGTTTAAGAGGTTTAGCGTTTAGGGTCTAGGGTTCAGAGACCACTTCTATGAAAACCCTTGTTGAAATTGCAAGTTGCCGAAGTCTTGCTAAAAATGAGCTTGCTTCAATGAGTATCAAGTTTAAGCTAGCTATCCGAGCAGACCCTCAACCCCAAACCCTAAGTCATGACACCCCAGTCATCCCCAGTCCAAATCGGCAAAGTTTGCCGTCCCTTACTGTTTGGAGGCCCTAGAGAGAGCCTGTAAGACATGTTTGAAACCTAGACCCCTAAAGAACCCTATCGCCCTATCCCTTAACCCGTGAGCCCCAAACCCCAAAACCCTAAACCTCTAAAATCCTAAAATCCTAAACCCTAAACCCTGAACCCTAAACCCAAAACCCCTAAACCCCTAAACCCTAAACCCCCAAGCTCCTAAACTCCTGCAGCAAACACACCCTAGACCTAGTAGCCGTACAGGAACCCTTAAAGCCCAAAACCCTGAAACCCCAAAACCCTCAACAAACACAGACCCTTAAAGGACACCTTGAAGCCCTAGACCCTAAATCCAAAACCCTAAGCCCTAAATCCAAAACCCTAAATCCAAAACCCTAAACCCTAAATCCAAAACCCAAAACCCAAAACCCTAAATCCAAAACCCGAAACCCTAAATCCAAAACCCAAAACCCAAAACCCTAAATCCAAAACCCGAAACCCTAAATCCAAAACCCTAAAACCCTCTTAAGGAGCCTTGAAGGGCTTGAAGGGAGGAACCCTTAAACCCTAAACCCTAAACCCTAAACCCTAAACCCTAAACCCTAAACCCTAAACCCTAAACCCTAAACCCTCAGCCGATGGAAGGACTACTTGCGCTGGCGCTGGGCGATGGCGGAGCCCCCGCTGGGCACAATGCCACAAGGCCAGGGGGGTTTAGGGTTTAGGGTTTAGGGTTTGGGGTTTAGGGTTTAGGGTTTAGGGTTTAGGGGTTTAGGGTTTAGGGTTTAGGGTTTGGAGTTTAGGGTTAGGGGTTGTGCAGGGTTTGTATAGGGCTTCTTTCAGGGTTTAAGAAGGGTTCTGTAGGGGTCGTTAATTACGAAGGCAGTTTTTTTTAATAGGGTGTGGTGGGTTTCTTTCTAAAGTTTGCAGTGGGGTTCGAAGAGGGTCCTACGGTCAAGGGTTTAGGTCACACTATGATGGTTCATAAGGGTTCTAACCCTAAACCTTAAACCCCAAAACCTTAAACCCTAAACCCTAAACCGGCTAGATGGTTTCTGGAAAGGCTTTAAGCGAGGTCTATAGCTCTCCTTCAAGGGATTCGGGAGTTAGCCAGTGCATGTAATTTAGGGGCATGAAGAATTACCTATATCACGGTTTAGGGTTTAGGGTTTAGGGTTTGGGGGGGGGGGGGTCCTTGTTATAGTTAAACTATATAGGAGCCCAAAACCCTATTCTAATTATCAAGGCTCCAACATTATGATGATCACGAGCAGAGCTTTGACCATCTGTAGCGACGATGACCGCACAAAGCAGGCGAAAGGACGCCAGTAGAATTAACACGGATGAACACGACGACGATAAGAAGACTGAGTCGTTCACATTGAGACCGAAACTCCCAACCCTAAACCCTAAACCCCGCGATAGGCCTGTGCAAGTTGATGACAGAATCACTTGTAGTAGATTGGGTGACCTTTAACTTCTTTTGGGGTACGATGATCCCTATATGATGCAAAGGCAAAGGTTAACCTTCACTTCCCTAAGCCCTACACCCTACATCCTAAACCGAAGCCGTACACCCTTAGGTACTGCACAAGTAGGAGAAAGATTGGCTGAATCTCTAGGTCCTCCCTCTTTGTTCTCTTGCTGTGTAGTGTTTGATTAGGACTGTTGGTTAGGGGTTTAGGTGCGTAGGGTTTAGGGTTAGAACTTAGGTTTAGGGTTTAGGGTTAGAACTTAAGGTTTAGGGGTTTAGGGTTCAAGCATACCAAAAGTCAGGACTCAAGAACACAGCACGCGAGCAAAGCCAAGAAAGTTGGACAAGACGGAACAAACAGCAACAGCTCGTAGAGAACTCCAGCTCCAACAGCTCGAAGCTCAAAACGCAACAAGCTAATGTAGGGGCCTAAATAATTACCCATACTTTTTNNNNTGTAATTATAGTATAATAGGCCCCAACACCCTATTCTAATTATTCAGGCCCCTATATTAAGTCAACAGGCTCGGAGCTCAAGCCGTTGAAGCCTTGCGATCCTCATTCGTCGAGCCATATGGGGCTTTCCGAAAATAGGTGACCCTAATATAGTACCCCCAAATAATAGGATCCTTACTATAAGGACCCCAGAACAAGGTACCCTTATCGGAAACTCCCAGAGGCCCTGAACCCTACAACCAGCCCGACCTAATGTAGGGGCCTAAATAATTACCAATACTATGTTGGGGGGTCCTTGTTACAATTATAGTATAATGAGACCCAAAACCCTCTTCTAATTATTAAGGCCCCTAAGTTACACCCTGAGCCGCAGTGAGCCCAAAAACCTGCTAACACACCCGGCAAGGTGAGGGGGCGATCGCGGCGATGCGTCTAGTAGCTGCCTCGGGGGGATTTCCCCACGGAGCTATGGGTTTATAAAGATTTACATTTAGGTGCTTTGGGGGTGTGGGGGTTTAGGGTTCAAATTTGAGGTTGCATCTGCGGGTAGGTTTCAGGGTTCGGGTTTCATGTTTCGTGTCTGGGGTTCGGGGTGGGCGTGTCAGCGAGCGACTCTGGCAGAGTTGTATGACCTCAAAAGGATCTCATGGGCAGTTGGAAGGTTCAATCAGGTTCTTGGAGGGCCTTTGATGGAATATCCCAACCCTTAGCCCTAAACCCTAAAGCTCTTCAACAAATGGATTCTGTGCTTCAGACTTGCAGTTTAGAAGGTAAGTCTTCAGCCCGCAGCCTTCTCCACCTGGGATGTGATGCCAGCAAGGTGGCAGGCTCGTAGTCTGTAGGCTGCAGTTAACTATTTAGGTTACTACAATCTAAGCCCATTATAGGTGGGTAGTTATAAGGTGGGTAGTCTCCCATAAGCCTCCTATACCACTCCTATAAGG